CCTGTCCTTCCAAACCCGGTTCAAAGTCTTTTCCCTGCCTAGTCTTCTCTGATTGCTCTCCCCATCCCTGGTTTGCACATACCGTGGGACCTTTCACTATCTTAATATTTATCATGCAATTTAATTCTGTGTTTAGAAGGCTGTCTTTCCACTAACCTGTGAGCTCCTCAAAAGTGAGGATTTTCAGGACCAGCAGTTAGAGTAATGGCTATGTCGTTGGACTCCCATGTAGTCAACCACGGTTCATGTCCCGGACCCGGTGGCTTAAAACTCACACTGGGCACGTGTGCGTGCGTGCCCAAGATCCCGAGAGGAGAATGGAGGAGAAGGGATTGCGGCGTGGCCATCCCCCCTTGCGGGGAGATTTCTCGCTTTCTGTCTCTCTGTCTCTGTCTGTCTGTCTGGTAAGTGCACGTGCCCTATAGCAAAAAAAAAAAAAAAAAAACCCTCTCCAAAAAAAAAAAAAAGTGAGGATTTTCATCCTTGTATTTCCAGCTGCTAGCACCATGCCTGACAATCTTTACAAAATGACCAGAAGAAAATTATATATATGTAAGGGATATGAACCTTCCCCTTGCACATGAAAGCAGGCAAATGCCACTTTAATGGACATGGATGACCTCTGCTTGGAGTAGACCTATATCCCTGACCAAAGAAAGAAATATGAAAATGATACCTGCACTTGCAGATATGGTCTCACCAATTATGTCTGTGCCTTATGAGACTCACCATAAATCATGGCAGTATTGAGACACTTGGATGTAGATGTAGCTACAGATATAGATACATATATACTATAATCTGGTATATATGTGCATCTGATGTAGGTAGGTATGTGACTATACATGCTTAGTCACATGGACAACAGCTGCTTCTTTTCCCTGTTAGCTTTGTGATTTACCAATGACTGGATCTCAGAATAAGAGGACTAAAAACTAAAAACACTAAAACAAACAGATAAATAAATAAATACATAAATAAGATTAAATTAGAAAAGAAAACGCTCTTACCTTGCAACCGTGCTCAGTTCTCTACGTTACTGGATTGTCAGAGTCAAGTAAACTAGATCAGTGGAAAATCCCCATGTCTTATTTCCATTTCCAGCCTTCTCCCAAAAAAAGCCTTTTTCTAACTGTTAACTAACAACACTGACCTTCCCTGTCAACCTTTATGTAAAGATGCTAATAAGCAACAATAATGTGAAAGAGGGTGAAACCAAACTGAGAGAGAGAATCAAAAGAACAAGGTTTTCTCACAGCTAGGCATTGATTTGAATAAAAATGCCAAGTCTCTGTTGTTTGCTCCTTGGCCTCAGGTACCTGGATGATAGTCTAGACCTGCAGATGTCAAGTGCCTTTTCCTGAGTTTACAGAGGAGCCTCTCAGTAGCACAGGGGATGAGAGGGGATACCCATCCCTTACCTTCACCATAAAGTACTGGCTTTTTTTTCCCACTCGTACTCTCACCAGAGGGAGACAGAAGAAAGAGAGAGAAGAGGGAGAGCCCCTCTCCCCCAAGCCCCCACCCCAGGAAAAAATCACACTACAATTCCCTCTCCACTTCTCCCTTGGGATTTCAGGCACACATGCACATGTGCCCAGCTGTTTCTCAAGCCAACAGGTCCAGGACTCAAACTGTATAGTTGGCTATGTAGAATCCTACCACTTTAACCACGAGGCCATGGGCTGACCCAAAAGTGCCAGCTTTTTTTTCCATTTCAAAGTTGAGTTTGTATAGAAGATTCTGATTGAAAGATGAGTTCTATAGCTAAAACAAAAACAAAGATACCAGTCCAGAAAAATGAGGTCATTTGCTCGGATGAAATTCCACCTGGCTTTTACAGAAATAAGAAAGGTTCAGATGCGGCCTAGCAGGCTGGGCCATAGCCTGCAGTTCCTCACGGCATAGTGTAAGAAACCCAGAATTAGAGACAGGAGACCAAGATCCAAACCCTGGATGTGGCTCACTCCCTCTCTCCTATAAGCACCCCAGGCTTCTTAAGGGTAACAACCCTGTCTATTTCCTACATCACGAAATCCTCAGAGCCTAGTAAAGTGTCTGGGAGATAGTATCTGTTTACTAATTAGCTGTTGACTAAACAAATGAGTAAAGGTTCCTATGTTTGTCTCAGATTCTGGATTCTGGACTTGCTAAGTTAACCTCCCTAAGCTTCAGTATCTTCACCAATGAAACAAGCATAATGCTTATGCCAGGGAATTGTTTCAAGGATTAAGTAAGGTGATTTATGTAAAATGCTTAAACACAATACCTAACCCAAAAAGGCATCTACTAATAAGTGTTATTAACTACTTTTACAATTAATATTACTACTAGTACTCCCTAGACAAGACTGAAGTTCCTTCTTAAAAGGCAAGTCAAAAAGAAGCTGGGACTCCTAGGCAAATTACTTACCTTCTTGGAGTTTATAGAGCCCCACCTTAAAGCAAGAATAAGAATATCTTCCTGCCAACGTTGTTGTGGAAATAAACAAGATAGCATAATGTGATGGTCAATCCTGTGTCAAGTTGACTGAGCTAAGGGATACCCAGATGACTGAGAAGACATTATGTCTGGCATGTCTGCAATGTGTTTCCAGAAGAGATTAGCATTTGAAACAGTAGACTGAATACGGAAGATTGTCCCTCACTAATGAGGGTAGCCATCATCTAGTCTTTTTGAGGGCACAAAGATTGGGTTGTAGGAAAAATCATGATGCAGTTTTGCATGGAAAAAACATAGAAAAAATACATCATGATTTTTCCAACAACCTAATAGAACAAAAGAGAAAGGAAAAGGGATTCTCTCTCTCTCCCCCCCCCCTTCTTTCTCTCTCTCCTTGAGCTAGGACATCTATCTTCTTCTGACCTTGGACACTAAAGCTCCTGTTTCTCAGGCCTTCAGACCTGGGCTGTTTTAGACCACTGGTTTTCCAGGTTCTCCAGCTTACAGATAGCTAGCTTCTCAGCCTCTATGACGACATGAGCCAATTCCCATAATAAATCCCCTCTTACATAACAAGTGGTTGTGTCTCTCTGGAGAGCTCTGACTGTATATAGTTGTTCATGTAGTTGTTTTTCAATAAATATTAGTCAGTTGCCAATCAACGTACTTATGTGGGTAGTGACAAAGCTGAAGTACATTCTGTGAATCTGCATAGATCATTCCATCCTCATAAGGTAAGCAGTATTAGCCCCATTTTATAATAGAGAAATTGAGGCTCAGAAAGATTAAGAAATTTTCTTGATAGCACACAGCTAAGAATCTGAGTAGTGGGATTAAAACTGAGATGTACCTCCCCAAGGCATACAACTTTTCTCTTCATCCCACCACTTTTGGAAGTCTTATCCATGAACACCTGCCCGGCCCCATCTGCACTGTCCCAGGAAGGATGTGTATTTGAACTAGAACTTCACCCACATGTTGAAGCTGGGACCTAGGGCACCTCTGCCCTCCTGAATCCATCAGCTGTGGAGACTCACATTAGCCCCACACCAAGCAGGGAGGACACCCCTTAGGTTGCTTACGAGAGACGCAAAATTGCCATCCACACATAAGTAAACAAAGATCTTACAGTCTGCATTGTGACTTGGTCTCCTTTTTATGCCATTTTATCTCCACTCCTCCTTTTCCTCTTTCTCAACTTTCTCCAGTCTGTATTTTACATGCTTGTTAGATATCTTAAATCAGATGAGAAATAAGGTAGAGGCGGCATAAATAAGGTGGCAGACAAATTCCACAAGAGGCTCACTTGAGTTTTCCAGGAAAATCAAAATAGGCTCAAAGAGAAGCAGTCCTTCTTTCTTACAGATCTCAGCACATTCCCTACTCATGACAGGTGCATCACACAAGAGTCTCAAGAAACTGTGAATGAGAGGCCAGCTGTCCTAGACACAGGACCTTTAGGCCAAGTGGAAACAAGCAAACAAAGGGAAGCTTAGAGGCCTAACTTTGTAAAACAGAGGCAAGAAGACTGAATCCATGATGCAGGGTGGGTGGAGGCTCACAGAGCACTTACCTGCCTGACAGCCACCAGCAGCTCTTCAAGTAACAGAGAGGGAACAGAGGAATCTACCTGGTGCCCTCCCTGTCCAGGAACAAGATTTAGGCAGTGTTTCCAGAATGGTGAAAGGCCCAGAGCCATAATGGCTAAACATGACATTTTGTCTGAAATCAACCTAGCTTCAGGTTTGAGAGGGTACTGGTGATTTTAATTACACAAGAGAGGGGCTATTTTTAACATGTAAATTAAATCATATATCTCCCTTGCCTAAAATCTTCCAATGACTTGCTATTTCACTTAAATAAAAACCCAAGTCCCTCCCCAGAGCCTACAATGCCTTGCAGGGCCTGCTCTCCGTCTCCTCTCAGAGTTGACTCTCCACCTTCTCCCCTGCTCACTGCACTCAGGCCACCAGCTCGCCCTGCTGTTCCCACTGCCTGGGATGCTTCCACTCCCAGCTGTTCTCAAAGTTAGCTCATAGGTTTCAGCTGAGCCAGAACCTCCTCAATAGGATTACCCTGAGGAGTTCAGGAAAAGCCATCACAAGATATGTTATTTTGGAATATTGATTCTTTTTAACTGAAGGCATTTTAAAAACAGCTAGTGCAGGGAGTGACTTTCTCTAAACTCCCCTTATCTGCCTAAAGACAAGACCCTCTGATAGGGACTCCATTGTCATCCATCTCCTCCCTGCGAGTTTCATCAACCAGGAAATATGAATAACTCTTATCACAAGAGAGGAAACTAGAAATCACCACCTCTCCCAGACCAACTCTCATGAACTATTCCATCTTCCATCTAAGTCTTCCAAGGACCCATTTATCATTCCTAAAAACTATTTACTCTGCCCTAAATGGCCTAATTTACTCTGCCCTAAATGGCCCCCTTCCCCTAATAAGAAGGCATATAAGTTCTCAAATCTCACCATATTTGAGGGGCATTCACATTTTTCATGGATGTCCTCATGCATGTAATATTAAAGATTAGTAAATGAGTATACCTTTTCTCCTGTTCATCTGCTGGGTTCCTGGGAGTAAGATTGTGTCCTTCCTGCTCATCCGAGTGTGGACCGGAGCTCATCGGCACATGGCACAGTGTATGGCCCAGGGCCAGCCCTCAATTAAATTCCTGTTGAATGAATGAATAAGAGAGATCCTGGAAAAAGCAGAAAGACGGTGGTCAAATGCCTCCGATCCCTGACAGGACAGTCCACGATGGCGCCGCTCGGGAACATTACAGCAGTCCCCAAACTTAGATAGGGATCTGAATCTCCCTGGGGAACTTCTTTAAAATATAGATTCCTGGGCCTCACCTGCAGAATCTGTACGTCCGGGATTGGGGAGCTGATGCACAGCCAGGTTTGGGAGTCACTGCATCCAGCATGAAGGCCTCACTGATGATTGGGAACCGCACAATTCTCCCCCTCATTTGGCCAGTGGCCCAGCATTTCTGGATGTTGACAAGGTCGTGCCATTCTCTGTGCTATACGGAGCCCTGTGCTCTCTTGGGCACTTGATAAATCTTAACTGACATTATGATAATAAAGCTTTTCTCTGTATCCTTCTGAATATCTTGTAAGGAAGAATCTGGTTCTGCCCTCTCACTGTGAATGGTGGGCTTGCAGGTCTCGAGCAGAACATTACACAATTCCCCTAGTTAGGAGATGGGAACATGAGTGCATCTTTCCTGAATGTAGTTACTGAGAGAGACACCAAGTGCCCAGCTCAGACTGGGAGGAAAGTGAGTGTGATCTTCAATAGAAGCATATCAAGTGCTATGAGAGTCACTTGAAAAGAAGATGACAGAAAACACCAATAGAAAACTCGTCTTAAGGTAATGTGGGCCTGAAAGTGGGTCTTAAAAGAGAGCCAGTTTGGGAAAAGGTGAGGTATGAATGGAGAGAAATCAAATACCAAGCATGACCTCCCAGCAGAGAGTTGAAAACAATGAAGCGATCTTTCCAGCAGGAAAGATTTTATTAATAACCTGAATAATATAATAAAATGTACAGTTATGAGATGCTTCTCCTTCAGGGAGGTCAAAGCATTTTCCTGTATTGTCTGCTTTTATCTGATTTGATGGTGACCATGGCTGGGACTGAAGTGAGGGAACAGAGACAAGGGGAGACTGAGTGAAATGAAGCCACCTACACACTTTGCAGGTGGCCAAATCAGACCCATGTGAGGTTGCATTGAAAGCCACTGACCCGAGCCAACATTTCATAATCATAAAGAGGACACAGTGTGGATCAGGAAAATCAGACCCTAATCAGGGCACATGGACTCGGAGATGTTAGTTAGGCTCGGACAGCCAAACTAGCTGAGATCTCTAAGACAGATTCTCCAATGGCCATCCCATGAACAATATACCCACCTCTTAGCCCAGTCCTGGGCCAGTAGGATTGAGTTCCCAGCTGTGATCTGTTGATCTCAGGGTCTGATCAGTGTCCTAGCCATGGTGAAGATGGGAGAAGGCCTCTTTGGGTATAGAAGAGGATAGGCAATGCCTCAGAGGAACCCTCTGCCATGTTTTCTTTCCTCTCCACACTTTTCACGCCAGAAAAGAGTCTGGATAAATCCACTAAGTTCCACACATGGATCCTGGCCTCTGCAGGATGTCTCTGCTGAGCTGTTTCAACAAATCCTACAACTTACTAGGCCTGAACATGTGCCTTCCCCCACCTGCAAGTTCGCCCCTTCTACCTTCCCTGTCTCAGTAAATACTGCCAGCACCCAGCACCCTGCACTGCCCTCCCAGCCATTTCCTCAGCCATGCCCTTCCTGGCCCCTCTCCCTATTTCCTCAGCTCCTGCCTTTATGCTGGGTCTTTAATCCCTGAATGGTTACACAGCAGGCTCTGAAGATTGTCAATGCCTCCATCCCTGATGCCCACCCCTTGCAGCTTAGTTTCTACAATGCTGCAGAAGAGGCAAGCTGATGTGCTGAAGTTCTCTGGTAGTTCCCATCTCATTTAGAATAAAATTCAAACTCCTTAGGAGGCATCTAGCTCAGGCCTTCATGATTACATAACACTCTCTCTCCAGTCTTTGTTATGGCAGGAATTAGGGAAATATAGGACTCAGGGGCTATCACGGTGGAAAAGGGGGTGTCTTCGTCTGAACTATCTAAGATAGGGTAATTTATAAAGAAAAGTGTTTTTGTTTTTTGTTTGTTTGTTTAATTTCTCATAGACCTGAGGGCTGGGAAATCGAAGCTCAAGGTGCTGGCAAGTTTCGTGTGTGCAAAGGGCTGCTCTCTGCTTTGAAGTTGGTGCCTTATTTCTGTGTTCTCTGAGGAGTATGAACACTATGTTCTCACATGAAGGAAGAGACAACATGGGGTAACTTGCCCCTTCGAGCCCCTTTATAAGGCACTAACCCATTCATGAAGGTAGAGCCCTAGGTCCTCATCACCTCCTAAAGGCCTGTCTGTCAATATAGTTGCACTGGGGATCACGGTTTAACCTGAGTTTCAGAGGGGACTCAAACATTCAAACCACAGCAGCTGCAAAGGAACCGCAGCCCTCTTCAGCCTCAGCTACCATCAGTGGTCCTATGCCCACTGACACCAACAAGCAGTGCATCATGGTTCCTGTCTCCCACACCTGGGCCGAGGGTACTCTTCCCCTTTCTCTCTACCTGGATAGCCCCCAAATGTTCTATTAGTTGCTTAGTTCTGCTGTAACAACATACCTCAAACTGGATGCATTAAAAAAACAGAAAAGCTCTTTTCTGACTGAAACCATGAAGAGTGGCCTGGAAGAGAAGGAAATGGTTCCCGCTGGAACAGAAACACTTGCTTTCTCACTTTTTCTCTCCTTTTCTCTGTGTCTCTCTCTGCTAAGTGCATGTCCCCTAGAGCAAAAAAATTTTTAAATTCAATTAAATAATTCTTGAAAAAAAATCTAATCTCTGCTGAGTGCATGTTCCCTAGAGCAAAAAAAAAATTAAATTAAATTAAATAATTCTTGAAAAAGATCTCATCTCTGAGAAAATTTCAAGTATACATAATGTTAATTATAGTCGCTTTGTTGCACAACAGATATCTTGAGCTTATTTCTGGGTCTATATGTTTTGTTAATGTTACAAATGGGATCTCATTGGTAAAATTAGTGGCTTGCTATTTCATGCAATGACTTTTATTATTTTTTTAAAGAGAGTTTTTTTTTTTTTTTCCTCCTTGCTATAGGGCACGTGCACTTGCTGGAGACACAAAGAGAGACAGAGAGAGAGAAAGCAAGAAATCAGCTCCCAGGGGGGGATGCTGCAATCCCTTCTCCTCCATTCTCCTTTTGGGATTTTGGACATGCACACACATGCACCTGGTGTGAGTTTAAGCTGCTGGGTCCAGGATTCGAACTGTGGTTGACTATGTCGGAGTCCAGCAACATAACCATTATACCACCTGCTAGTCTCATAGTGCCTTTTAAAAAAAAAAAAAAAGTTTTACTTAAAAATTTTCTTCCATGAGAAAGAGAAAAAGAGAGGAGGAGAGAGTGGCATGCATAACAGAATCTTCATGGAACAGCCTACCACAAGCCTTAGCCAGCCAGGATCACAGCATACGTGAGGGGTATAACTTGGGATCTCCCCAAGGGGCTTCAGCATCATGGAGCATTGGATGCTCACCACTGTGACTCCACAGATGTCTAGAGAGATAATGTTTTTCATTTTAAAACTTGCCTTAGAAGGGCAGGTGCTATAGACAAAAGCAAAATGCCTGGCACTAAACAATATTCTGACTGCTCCAGCTATGACAGAGACCTAGTTCAGACCCCAAGGGCCTTTGATTTTAAGGGACATAAATATGAAGAAGCTATGGCTGCCACTGTGGCCTTGCAACTTCCCTAGATGCTAACAGAGAAGCAAGTTGCAGATTTTCGCAACAGCTCTGAGTCTTCTGCTATTGTTCCACCTTAAGGACTCTCATCTAGAAGACTGGGCATATGGGAAACCAAGAATGATTGGGAAGGAAAACAACAATTCTTCATTTTGACAACCATTCATGATCATAGCTTGAAAGATGACATTCAGGACAATGGTTTGGGGCTCCTGAGGAGTCACTCCATGGGTACCTATCTTTGCCAAAGTTTCCAGCTGTTAGGGCCAGGTTGGTATGAGACAAATGGACTAAATTGCCAGCTTGCTTGGTTGTCCTTGAGGCTAGAGTCCAGACAGAGGTCACTTAAGCTTGCTGACCATGTGTTCACTTGGAATTCTGTGGTGAGGACAGGTAATGGGGCCAGCACCACAGCTAAGATTCATCATGGTGTAGGGTGGCCAGCAGGGGGTGTGATGGTTAAGGTACTGGACTCCCACATGGACTATCACAGTTCGAGTCCCAGACCTGACAGCTTGCTTTCTCACTTCCCCTCTCTCTCTCTTGTCAAATAAAAAATAAATAAATAACAATAATAAATTTTTAAACATTAAATAAATACTTCTTTTTTAAAAGATTCATCGTCATCTGCTTTCATTCATCAACAAAGATATTTGATGCCCACAATGTACCCAGCACTGGGTCGAGTAGGATCTGGGACTTCAGAGACAGAAGGCTTTGTTTCTTCTTCTCTCAGAGCCACAGTCAGGTAGGGAACAGAGAGAAGTAGACTTTCAGCACAGTGTGATGATGACCAGGTAGGACACTGGAAAAGGTCAGGGAAAGGGCTCTCAGCCCAGCCAGGTCAAGAGATGATGCTCAAATTGTGATTTTAAGAACTGTTAGGAGTTGAATTTACCTTTTCCCAAAAAGACATTTGGGAGTCCTAACTCCAGTACCTGGGAATGTGACCTTGTTTGGAGTTAGGATCTTTAATATTAGGATAGTCACCCAATATGACTGGTGTTCTTATGAGAAGGTGGAAGATTTAGGCATAACCATTTTAGAAATAACCACCCACATAAGAGAATACCAGGTGAAGTTCAGAGTGATTTTGCCATTCTTTTTTTTTTTTTTCTTTTTTTGGAGAGGTTTTTGCTATAGGGCGCGTGCGCTCGCCAGACAGACAGAGAGACAGAGAGATAGAAAGCGAGAAATCACCCCCCAGGGGGGATGACCACGCCGCAATCCCTTCTCATCCATTCTCCTCTCGGGATCTTGGGCACGCACGCACATGCGCCCGGCGTGAGTTTAAGCCACCAGGTCCGGGACTCGAACCATGGTCGACTACATGGGAGTCAAGCGACATAGCCATTACGCTAACTGCTGGTCCTGATTTTGCCATTCTTAAAGATTCTCAGGGATATGAGTTCCCCCTCCTTGAGGAACATTTGCTTTCCACACCGGCCATTATACTTAGGATAGCTCACTTATCATACATAATTTAATTAATAATACTAGTGATCATGCACTAACCAAAGAGGTAAAGGGAAAAAGAACCCCCTAATGAAATGTGGTCACTTCTCCTCCATTTCTCTGTGCTGTCGAGATCTTAGACATGCACATACAGGGGACCTGCAAGTGGCGTAACGGTCAGAGGCACTGGACTCCCACATGGCCGGCCGCATTTCAAGTCCTGGACCTGTTGGCTTGCTTTCTCACTTTCCTTCTCTCTCTCTCTCTCTCT